CCCGTCTCAAATAATTACAGTGGACTACTGCCTCAAATGATAGGTGTTATTGATCACTAAGACTCGGTGATTCTATTATCACCAAATGTTTCAAGTAATCATTATCTCATCCCTCAATTATGGTTCTTTTCCCGAATGACGTATATCTACTCACTTCTTCAACCTTCTATCTTAACCATTTTTAAGATAAAACTTCGAAGAAGTGTATATATATATATATATATATATATAATATTCATTGATAATGTACTCGCACTGACATTGTATATGATCAGAAATCAGTAGTTTCACATTCTTCACATCAGAAATCGCTGATCTGATCATTGTGCCATCATTAATCCCATAGTTATTATAAAGGAATGCGTTAATCTGCTAACAACATTCATCTCCCACATATCGGATTTTCATCAGCTAATCTTTAGATTATCTCAGTCTTATTCGGAATTATACATCCGATTATGACAAAGACCTGATTAACGAATTAATGATGAAGTGCACGTTTCTTAGATCATTTGCCAACTTCACGCTATAATTCATTGTTGTCGAGCAGTTCAACCCTCGTTATAGCGTTACTGAATTGTAACTTGTTACCTTCTCAAAAGTATCCTTTTTATTTTGCTATTATTACTTCTTAGGGATTTCGATTACTATCGAATACTGTTTTGTGTGTTTGTNTTGTGATTGATGGCTTCAGAACCATCGATATTTTCTGAGAGCATCGTTCAAATGAGTAATCGCTTGTGAAATAGTGCATCTTTCGTCATGTCCCTTTAATCATTTATCATCTCAGAATGGTGAACGTTCAGATAATTTATGTTGAGAAACCAATCTGCTGAATTGCCTTGATGGAACGGACTCTCTTCTTAGAAATGATAGCACTGATGATTATTGGTATCAGTAGCTGAAAATAGAAATGGTAAAAAATAATCTGATGTTAAACGATAAAGCATACTCTCTTGTAATTATTTTCATCTGTCTCACATCTGAATTTGTTTGAGGATTTTTGATTTTAAAATGAATTCTCAAGACACTTCATTTATAATCCAAAAGTGCATTTTGGTTGAACTGAGTTCACGTGAACTCGCATGGAGGTGCTAGCAGTGGTTCGATCTGCATCATAAAATATTCCATTTCATAAAGTTCTTTGAAGTAAGAAACACTCCTTCTTAAAATAAATTATTCTTCAACAATTCTATCGTCGAAAATTAGAAAATTTTTCTCACTTTCTTTCTTCACGCAACCAAATAGTGATCACTTTCCAGTGGTTCCAAAGAATTTGAATCATTCTCAGAATCATCNATTACTTGAGGAGTCACGCTACAGCGCAAGAAATGAATTTCTGAATGAACTGGCGTAGGATTCGTTCCAGTTATTCCACACGCATATTCACTTAGGCTTTGCCATGTTCGAATTGAACACCTCTCTTCTTACAATTCTTTTCATTTGAGGCTAACACTCAAGGCTACTGACTTCTGAAGCGTCATGAATGAGTGTGCATTTTCGCGAGATAAACTCAATGATTGCAGAAAACCGAATGGTGGTCATCAAATAACGCTCATCTCTAACTGATCCCATTAAGAAATATGATGCGATTGACTTAATCACAGAACGTAGCAAAATCATCAATGAAAGCGTTTAGCATCTCTCCAAACTTCAGTTACTCAGTGAATAACATTTGATATCGCTTTTAGAATCATTGTTCTTGAATTCCATCATTAGTGGCAAATTAAGAAATGAAATTTGCTTCAAGCATTTCTTGATGAATTATCTTCAATCAAATGAAACAGAAAATGATGTAAACATTTTAAATATGCAATCACTTCAAATTGATGCATTCTCAAATGTCAGTTATGAAGGATGATAAGTTGTCGTTTGCTTTTCTTGATGCTCTCTTGAACGTATCGTATTTTTGATGATGTATTATAGTTCAGATCACTTTGCGCTCCGTCAGTGCGCTCCGAAAAGCACATTCGCAAACAATGTTTCACATCAAGAGTGAAAATCGTACGTTCTCCGTGAAAATCATTGCGCTTATTCCAAACATTCAGTTGATTCGAGTTGAAATTGACAGGGTACCTTTGAACGATTAGTTTCTGGCTCTTTCTCAGCAGCCTTTACGACAGAGGAAATTTTTGGGTAATCAACCATCTCAGGTTCAGCTTACAACCCAACCGACCGAAACTCAGCGAAGTAATGTGATAAAAAATAGAAGTGACGCACACTATTTCATATGTACAATAATGACAGGAAGGCTATTCCATAAAATTCATTTGAATAATATTTAACAAAAGTACATGTTTATCTCATGCTATATTTCCTGAGGATATCGCACAGTGGAGAAAAATTACACAAGTATAGTTCTCTTAATGCTGCTCAGTATCAGTAGAGTTACTTCGCTACGAGCTTACTCATCCAATTTGGTTACTTTTCATAACTGAATGTGTGTTTGATCGTATTTATTGCTTATGTTGTTCAGTTTTGATTTGACGGCTGATAATAGTGAATGATGATATGAGAATGGCATGTGCTAGTTAAGGTTAAGGTTATGCGCTGTGTTAAGTGTTGAGCTCTGTGCTGATGCCAGAGAAATCAGTTGTGCAGTTGTTATCGAGCATTGTTTGTTAGAATTTATGGTTTTTGAGGTTTGCTACCATCGCCGAACATTCGCCGAAACATATGCATTAGGTTTCTCTATTCATGTTCCATTTCTAAGATGAGATTTGTAATTATGAAGATCAATCTCATCAAGATCTGTGCAAACCACCGCAGTGACTGATGTTCATCGAAAAGACATACTGCATTACATATGTTTTATGTTGTGTGCAATTTTAGTGTATAAAAATAGTTGGATAAATCAACTATATCCCACATATCTATGTATCTCTATGTTGGAGTTTCGTATAGTTGTTGTTTATGTAACGAAGTTGTTCAATGTGCATCCGAGCGAATCAATCTTAATTTTTTCCATTTCGAAATATGAACTACGCGGACACTTATCGTTTCGTTAGGTCGTGCAAATGTTATCGCATCGAAGTTTACGTTATAATAATTCACATCGTTTCAATGATATCCATTGCAAAGATTCATTTCAGCTGTTTTGAACTTCTGTAGAGTGTCACTCCATTAACTGAGCGTCGTCAATCGTTTACGTGTGCATTTATGATCTTCCGATTCTGCATGGTGGCTATTCATTTCGTGATTGTCTCAGCAAGTTATCTCATTCAGAGAATAATCGATAATTTGTAATCAATCCTTAGAAACTGCTCACAATTTATAATTCAGCATTGTCCAAATGAATCTTCTTCTCTAATCCTTGAAATTTTCACCTCATCCTCCTCTGCTCTTCTCTTCTCTTCCCACCTCCTTCAAAAGAGCAATACTTTGAGTGATGTCGATCATTATATACGAGAAAAGTTTCCCTCTAGAATATGTGAGTTATACACGATTGCACAACGACTCTAAGGCGGTAGATGAATAAAAACAACTGATCGTGAGTGCTATTTCATGCGTTTGAAGCTTTCAGTGCTCATTTATTAGACTTCATCTTTTCAGCACTCTATCTTTCATCTTTTCATTTGCACTTTGCTTGATCAATTCACGTTTCATTTCAATATCATTTCATGTCAAATTTGAGTTTTTT